CTCCGTTATTCGGTCGTTAACCAGTCTACTTCATATACGATTCGATTGAGAATTTCACGGGCTACAAAATGATATATGACACAACCTTAAGAAGTTGTGTCGGGGTAAGGCCAAGATTCGAAATACCCGGCAGCATATGAGCAAACTGACGTGTCAAGTTCATTCATGTCAGAAAAGCTCTTTATACGATCGTTAACCAGTCCACGTCGCATGCTTCTATGTTGTTCGTTTCATGTGCTAGAAAATGATAGATGATATTATCGGAAAGAAATGTAACTGCGTAGTCTGCAAATAGAAATGCGTTTTCACTGGCATTGTGTTGATGTGAGATATTTCGTGAATATTGAACAGAGAGATACTGTCGTCTCTGTTGTGCTCGTATATATATATTGATGTTTTTGCGGTGTTTTTGGTTGTTGTAGTGATTTGAGAAAACGTTTGAGAACGTAGTTATTTATAGTAGAGAGAGATTCGCACAATTTACTTTCATAATGGGTCGTTATTGTCCTTGCGGAGCTGTTTTGTTGAGGGCATCTAGTATTCGACGATTAGGATCACCTTTATTTCGTATGTTTATGTGCATACGTGTTTTGGATGCGCTTCCTGCGAAGACAAAAGTTTGCAATAAATGTAGACAGTCATATGCATACTGGAAAAGATGCAATCTGGAATTTGAGAGTGTTTTTGATCGGATTGAGAAAGATTTTGCAGGTCATGCAGGAGATGATTAGGTAAGTGGAACTTTAATGAGTATTTCTTTAGCTTGTTGCATAGTGTCCAGTTTTTGTTCTATACAGGTTGAAGATATGGATATCAGCTTTGATTCTCTTCCAACAAATAAATCTGACAAAGGATCTCACTGTGACAGAGGATTATCAGCAATATGACAAAGGGTCTCAAACTGTGGCAGAGATATTTGAATCACCGTGTATTACATTATCAATGAATTGCACGATATCATCTCATACGTAAGTGATGCTCCGGATCGATTAGTTGTATAGTATAATTACGTTCCAAGGTATATGGTTCTATGGCTGTTTAGAATTTGCTATGTTTGTCGATCTCATATTGATGGCTCATCAATGACTATAGCGGCTGAAGATCGAGATATGATATTTGTAACGAAAAATGTAATGATACGTGAAGGTTCAAGATGTTGTCGTAAACACTTAGAAGATCATCGTTTAATGCCCGCTTCAATAAACATAATTAAGCCACACAAGATAGAAATTATCTCACTTAAAGCTGGTGATGTTCAGATGTTAATAAATAAGTCTCAGATACTTTACAATCAGAAAAAACGTCTAGATTTTGACGATTGTAATGCGATTTCTGACGACGAGTATTATAACTTAACGAGTTTGAACAAAGGTCAATTCGATAGTTTAATAAAAGAGATAGCGGCTTTTCCAATTCGAAATACAGCAGTTAGGTCGATTCGTACTGCGGTGGTGTGTTTATTATGTAAATTACGCTTGGGTTTGTCTAACACAATTCTGGCTTTGCTATTCGAGTCACCTGATAAACGCGCTGTGTCGCGCGCTATTGGAACTGCTCGTAAAGCAATAATGAAAGATTTCGTTCCGTACCACCTGGGAATTTCGCATATTACTCGTCGTCAGATAATAGATAATCATACAACAACAATAGCACGTGAACTCATGGGTGGAGGAAATGATACGCTTGTGTTGGTCATTGATGGAACATACATTTATATACAGGTATATGAAGATGTTTTTTTAATTTTATCTTACATATCCTTTTAGTATTTTTTTTATTGTAGAAGAGCCGGAACAATGAATTTCAGAGAAAAACTTTTAATTTATACAAAAAGAGATCTCTGTTAAAACCAATGATGATAGTTACAACCACTGGATACATTGTTGCCTGCATTGGTCCTTTCTTTTCTGACTATTCAAACAACGATGCCGCAATGATGAAAGACATTTTATTAAGAAACACCGACAACATATTGACCTCCTTCCAAGAAGTATTTAACGTAGAGGTTAATGCAAAATATTCGATTTAACTCATGATCTTTTATATTTAGAAGGATGTAGTTGTTGTGGACCGTGGCTTCAGAGATTGTTTAGGAGTGATGTATTCATTAGGATTGGATGTGGCTATGCCACCATTTTTAGATGGTCAAAAACAATTTTCAACTGCACAAGCTAACCGCTCTCGATGCATAACGAAAGTGCGATTTATCGTAGAGACTGTTTGTTATCAGAAGAAGAGATTGGAGACATCACTTTAGGTAACACATTAACAAGCAATCCTCTCATTCAAGAAAATTTTATGTACCATATGACTATTTTAGGAGTGTTCTAGTTAAAGCGTGCAAGATCGTATGCCGAAGAGCACTGTTCTTCGACAAAATTAACCGAGTCTGTATCCTATCTTGTTCAAAAGTGTAAAACAATCCCTAATATTATACGGGTGTCCACGCAATCTGCAAATATCAGACGGAAGTCCTATCACCCTGTCATACAATTCACACAAGACGAAATAATGGGCTGGTATTGCGATTGTCTAACTGGAAGCCGTATTATAGGTTGCTGTAGTCATGTGGCTTCTGCAGTTTAGTTTTTAAGTTACGAACGCTGGCAGACCAAAGAACGTAACATGCCCTCGGGTGATTTTGTTAGATTAGCTACTGACAGCATTCAGGTGTCAGACTTTTATGACTCGACGGATGATGAAGACGAGAACTGCTACTCCTTAACATAATTTCTTCCTACTTCTATACATACGTGTGAGTCTGTTTTGATTTATAAAAAATAAAAGCACTATATCTGATTCAGTGATTTCTTCAAATGTGTTCACAAACAACAATTCAAACAATAAATATATCTCTTTCGAAACAAAACTTTTCATGTATATATCTCGCAGTAGTAGGCTACATTTCTACAGCAAAAAGCATTAAAGAAGAAGAATAATATCTTCTATTGTTCTCTATCACTCCCTGACATTTTATTTCTCGATAGAAATACTTTCTCCTTCGCTGTATGTATGCCTGGCCTTTCGTACACTATTGTATCAATATTTTTAAAAATACACTTCTTTATTTGTAATCACATTCTATCAATCGTCCTTCTCTACCCTTCGACAGCAATACCGTATATTCCTCCCTCGACGACATATGGTCAAAAAACAAAAGAAATCACTCAAATCTTTCTCCATCGAATAAAATCGCTCATAACGAGTACGTTAACATTTTCTAGTGTCTATCTTCTATATCATATTGCAGTTTATGAAATACTCTATGGAATTGCACATAAAGCAGCGTTCTAACACACACACAAAAAAATAATTAACATCAATGACCTTCACACGCCAGTTTGCTCATATGCTACCGGTATTTCGAATCTTGGCCTTACCCCGACACAACTTCTTAAGGTTGTGTCATATATCATTTTGTAGCCCGTGAAATTCTCAATCGAATCGTATATGAAGTAGACTGGTTAACGACCGAATAACGGAG